CAGTGTGTCAGAGAACCAATGGCATAGCTAAGTGTGACAAACTAACCAAGTTAGAGTCCAAACAGGTCAGCTCAAATTAAATAATAATGCCAGTTTCTTTTTGTTTGTTTTTTTTACCACTAAGGTATTCTTCATGAAATCAAATACTAGTAGTTCTAAAATATTTCCATTTTTTTTCTTTCTTTTCTCTTGCTTTCTATCTTAAAGATTTTAGCAGAACTGAAGAAAGTAAATTTTTCCCGAAATGGTTATGGTGTGTCATTTAATGCTAATGGGGATCCTGTGGCGATTTACGAGTTGGTTAACTGGCAGACGAGTGAAACTGGAAAAACAGAGTTGGTAACAGTAGGACTTTATGATGCATCACTGCCAGAGGGCCATGATTTCCAGATTAACCGGAACATAACCTGGATGGAGGATGGCACCCAAGTAATGAATCAAAAGACAAGAACCACACTGCACTTTGGAGGATTGCACATTTATATTTCCGTCTTTTGTTTTGGCTTTATCTCTCACAGGTGCCAGTGTCAGTGTGCAGTGCCAGTTGTCCTCCAGGAACTCGTAAAGTGCTGCAGAAAGGAAAACCCATCTGCTGCTATGACTGTATATTGTGTCCTGAAGGAGAGACTAGTAATACAACAGGTAAAATAAAATGATTTAACATATATTCAAAATTATTTTACTGTGCATAGGAGAAACATCGAAGGAATTATTGGTAGAAGTCATCTTTCCATCTCTCTTTATTTATTTACGTTTTTTAATTCAGATTCAACTGATTGTATACCCTGCCACAAGGAATTCTGGCCTAATGCCAAGAGAGACACTTGTATCCCTAAGCCTGTAGAATTTCTTTCCTTTCAAGACATCCTTGGAATCATCCTCGCTGCATTTTCAGTTCTGGGTGCTTGTCTGGCCATTATGACTGGGGCTGTATTCTTTCATAACAGGAAAACTCCAATTGTCCGAGCCAACAACTCTGAGCTGAGCTTCCTGCTGCTCATCTCACTGACTCTGTGTTTCTTATGTTCATTAACTTTCATTGGAGCACCATC